CAGCACCAGGCGCTGGTGGCTACTCAGGAGGCCAAGAGCTAAGATTCCTGGTTCAAAGCCAGCCCAGACAAGAAAGAATCTAAGACTTATTTGGTTGTGGGGCTTGAATTCAGGGCCTGGGTGCTGTCCCTGAGCCCTTTTGCTCAAGGCTGGCGCTCTACTACTTTAAGCCACATTACCACTTCCAGTTTTCTGGTGGTTAATTGGAGATAAAACTCTCAAGGACTTTCCTGCCAGAGCCTCCTGAGTAGCTAGGATTACAGGCGAGAGACACTAGTTTCTGGCTAATGTGAAACCCTTATCTCCCATTAACTACCAGAAAACTGGAAGTGGAGCTGTGGCTCAAAGTGTAGAGCTCAAGGACAGTGCCCAGGCCCTGGAGTTCAAGCTCTGTGACTGACAAAAAAATTACTTTTTATCTGAGTTACATCTGTATATCACCTTTACGATAATAATAAAAAAGAAAAAGACCTGAAACATTTCTGTATGTTTAGGATAATTCTGTCTCTGTGTGTGTGTGCATGCACACACACATGCTGGTCCTAGGGCTTGAGCTCAGGGCCTGGGAACTGTTGCTTTATAGCTCAAGGCTGCTGATTTACCGCTTTTTGGTGGTTAACTAGATATGACAGTAAGACTTTCCTGCCTAGGCTGGCTTTGAACCTCGACCTCAGATCTCAGCCTCCTGTAATCCTAGGTAGGATTACAAATCTGAGCCTCCAGCACCTGACCACTTAAGATAAATCTAAAGCAAAGGTTAAGAAGTAACTTCACTCAGAACTGTAAATGTTTCATAGATAAAGTAATGTAAGTAATACAGAAGGCTTTTCCAATTCAGTATTATTCTGTATCATACCACCAACCACTGTGTCCTCAGGTATGGAGACTTCAATTAATCTTATTTCTTTTTATTTATTTATTTTTGGGTCCGATTGTGGGGCCTGACCTCTGGGCCCGGGCGCTGTCCCTCAGCGCTTCAGCTCAAGGCTAGCGTTCTACCACTTGAGCCACAGCGCCACTTCCGGCTTTTTTCTTTTTGCTTATGTGGTGCTGAGGAATCGAACCCAGG